CCGAAACACACCCGCCCCTCCCCTAAAAAATTCCCCAATCTTTCTCTCTCTCTACAACCCTAACTATCCCCTCCCCCATCTTCAACTCCCCCTTCTTCCCTCACAATCTCCCCTACCTTCTTCCCCTAAGGTATGATTCCGACCCCCCCCCCCTTCTCTTTTCTTTCTATTTTTTGTTGTATTATGCTAGTTAAATGTTAATATAATGTAGTATTGGGCTAGGATTTTATTTTGCTAGAATTTCTTCTTATTTTATAGTGTAATTTCGTTTTTAGCATATGTTTGGTGAAAGGGCTGTGTATTGAATGTTTGGAATGGTGTTGTTGGTGGGTGATTGTTTAGAGCAAGTGTGGGGTATATGGGTGTAGTGGATAGTTGAATTTGGGAAGTTTTCTTGATTCCCATTGGCCATGATTATGAAGATAAGTGCCTAGCCCACAATGTGTTTGGGAAATTGCCTCAATGGAGATATAAGGTGATGTTGTGACATGGTTGTGGTGAAGTCTGAGTAACCCCCCAGTGTCACACATTTTGGGCTCGTCCTAATAAGTGTTTCTCTGTTTTTGACAGGTACTATGAGTTCATCTCATAAGAGAAGAAACACCGGGTCCTCTGCTAGTGGTCCAGGAGGCTCCTCACGAGCTAGGGGCCAAACCTGTGCACCGCGGTTCGATAGCACTCGGTTCGTATCTGAATCAGCAGAGACAAGGTACAATCAGAAATCTCCAAAGAAATTACTCCAAGAGGTCCATATCGATCGGACGGCATTGGTGCAAGAGTTCCCCAATAAGTTTAATGAGCTAAGGAGGTGTCAGCTGGACATCTTCTTTGAGGTTCCCGAGGAGGCCAACATTCAGCTAGTGCGAGAGTTTTATGCAAATCTTCCAGAAAACGAGGATGGGGTTGTGACTGTGCGCAACACCCCGGTTAATGCTTCTATAAAGGCTATCTGCAGAGCGTATCGCCTCCCCACATTCATGGGTGACGATCACTACATCATGTCTCATCGCCCAAGGGTTGACTGGGACAGACTTCAGGAGGTAATCTGTATACTTGGCAGAATGCCCAAATGGATAGCTCAGTTTAAGACTCTACATTCACAGTCTCTTACTTGGGAGGCAAAGTGTTGGCTCACTATCATCAACACCCGTCTGCTACCATCCAGCAATAGCACTGATGTGAATGGGCCACGGGCCGCTATGATCTACTGCTTTATGACTCACCAAGGGTTTGATGTCGCCCGTGTCCTCCATGATGAAATGTTCATTAGATCGCCTGAGCTGATCAAGGGCCACTACTTCCCTTCGCTAGTCACCCGACTGTGCCGCCTTACTAACGTCCTTGAGAATCTTTGAGTTGATGGGAAGTTACCTCTGAAGGCCCCATTCAGGGCAAATAAAATTGGACTTGAGAGAAGGGAGCCAGTGCCAGACAGTGACGACTCTGCTGATGAATCTGATGATGATGCTAGGGCAGCTGCTGAGATCACAGCTCCTCCGAGAAGGGACGAGGTCGGACCATCACAGCCGCGCTGGAGCACTAGCATGGCAGATTTAGCACAGGAGATGACTGGGTTGCGTACTTCAGTCAATGATTTGAGTACTTCAGTCAACGATTTGAGTGCCCGTGTTGAGGTAGTGGCTGACAGGCAAGTGAAATCGGAAAAGAAGTTCTTCGGCTGGTTGCGAGCGCTGAGTCGTGCATGCAATGTGAACCCAGACACAGTTTCTGACAAAGAGTGAGCCTCAGGGAAGTTCCTGTACCTCACTGTTCTTCACATTTTGAAGCCATGGGGACATGTCTTTATTTTAAGTGTGGGGTGGGGGATACTTCATTGTATGTTGTAATTGTAACAATTAACTGTTTGCTTTGATTGTTTTGATGTAGAATAGCAGTTTATTAGCACAGCAAAAATAGTAAGTGACTTATCCCGACGACCGATCTTTTTCGACGGGGTTCTTGAGGGACTAAGTCGAGATAAAAAAATGGAATATATAGAGACTTCCTGTTGACGGATCCTTTTCTTGAGGGAAGTTAGTCTAGAGAAAATACCAAAAAGATTTTTTTTATTTTTTTTTATTTTTATTTTTAGGTAGTGTAGTAAACTCCCCCTTGGTTTTTCTTTGGGCCACGGTTCTTTTCCAAGGGTTTAGCTTGAACTGGGTATAGGTAGATTTTTGTTTTGTTGTAGGATAGGATTAATTGGCGACGAGCTTAAAATCGAAGAAGGAAAACCCTTAGCGTTTTTACACCTGAACAAGATAGACACTAGAGTGTAGCACACAGCTTCAAGGGTTGAATCTTATTTAAGTGCCTTAAAAACTTTATGTTTGTACCTAACTTGAACACTCAAAAGAGGATGTCTTGATAAACTAATCCGGAGTGAGTCACGTGCCATATGTGTGTGAGTGTTAATGTATTCCATGCTGTACAATTGATGCCTAGAACTTGCCCTGTGTGTTTGCAAAGCGAAATAGTAGCTTCATTCAGTTTTAGAAGTGATGTAGGCATTTCTTTGTTGAGCCAGATATGTATATTCTACCCACCTAATTGTTATGTATCGTAGTTAACCCCTTTGAGCCTATAAGCCTTTTTCTTTGGAAACCACATTACAAGCCTTACCCATTTGTTTGAATCAACCATTTATTTGAATCTTTTCACCTCTCATGAGCACTTGAATTGTATGAACTTTGTAAAAGTTAAGTGTGGGATGGTTGGTTTGGCTTTTGATTGGAGTTAA